GACGTCGTCGATGCTTCCGGGGATTCACAGGAAAATCAAGAAAATACCGCCCCGGAAGATGTGTCAAACAAAGACAGTGCAAAAGAGGCTTTTCACGCTGTAGAGGGGGTGAGTGGTTGCCAGATACATTTGTAGCATAGTTTTCGAATTACAGGCTCAAGCCCAGCTGGCCGAAATCTCGCGCATTATGCTCAAAAATAGCGATGTAGGCGCGCTCAGAGAGCTCCACAAGGGCATACAGAGTTTGATTGCTGCAGCGCCACACCACATCCGTCAACCCTTTGTAAGAAGAATCGCGGTTCAGACATCCGGTCCTGCACCAAGTCCTCCCCGCATTCAACCTTTCAAAACCGTAAGTTATTCAGGCCTAGAAGTTAACCCGTGATATCATTTTTGCTTCAGAGGAACGCACTGAATGCTGAGAAGAGAAGAAATCGAAGCAACGAGTCCGAAGCCGCTGAATGGGCTAAGCGGATTTTGAAGACGGAGCGCATGCAACTACTGACGTGCTTCATTTGTGGAAAAAGGGATCCGGAGGACGAGGAAGAAAACGTTTATTGGATGAGTTGCTCGAACGACATGGAGTGCAAAGCTTGGGCACATGTAAAGTGCTCAGAAGTGGGCGAATTATGCAGCGTATGCAAGAAAGGACATTGGCGCCACGAAGAGGTATAGTGTCAAGACAATTTGCCACGCCTAGTTCTTTTCATTGTTTTCCAGACTTATTTTGTCAAGTTTTTGTAGAATTTATTACTGTCATTTATTTTTCATGTAATTCTTGTCTCCGATCACGTTGATTTGTACGTAATCATTTCATCCGTGCCTACCACTAGATTCCTGCACATTTGCTTTGTATTTGTTTTTTTTCCCAGATTTCATGGTTGCGAGCACATTTGCTTTCACTTTGTTCTTTCAAATTTCACGGGTTGACGAGAGTTCATACCTGACATTTCCTTTTTCATATCCAAAAAGATACTGGTATTGTCATATTAACGCGATGTATCTACTTGAATATGTACCGCATTTTTTAGTAATCGACTCAGCGCTGGTTAATAGGAACACTCCATAGCTAGTGTATGAATCTGCCCCTGCATGTTTCGCATATCTTGTTTTGGTTCGTACTTGATTTTTTGCTGCATCTTTCATTTGCATTCTCATTCTCATGGTTGATGTACTGAAAACTTCATGACATTATCAGGAGTTTCGTTTCTTTCATAGCTGCTGCGAAAGGTTTTGTTTCCTCGAATTCAAATCACGAAAGAATAAACAGTACGCTTGCAGAAGTGAGAATAAGAAACGCTTTCAAGATGAGCTAGTAGCACGGAAGTTATCGTACTCCTTTTGCCAAGTCCTCTATCTAGCTGTGACTACTTTTCGTTCATAACTTTTCAAGTGATTGCACCGAATTGTCCATAAAATGTAAAAGAAGTCCTGCAGATACACAGATAGATGCAACAATGATGAGGAGTCACGTATTTGTTACGAAAATCGTATGATTAACAAACTTATGTC